TGATGTAAATGTCTTCCTGTGGCAATCTATTGCTTCTCTTATTTTTGTCTATTTCATTTTTGAAATTAGTGGAAATTTCACATTAAATATTAAAAAGAAAAAAGCACTTTGCCAAATTTGAGTCACATTGGATTCTAAATACCCAGAATCCAACCAAATCTGAAACTAAATTCTAATATTTTAAAGATTGTTAGAGGATTTGTTATCTATGGTTTTCACAGAGTGTCTCCCATCATGTGCCTGCATGATGAAATTGAAGAAATGCTGTAATCCTTTTATATTTGAGGAAAAACTTAATGGTTTCTCAGTTATTCAAGGAGTTGAATGATATACAACACATTGATCATAGATTTTAAAGGGAAATTAATCAAATTTTTATTGACCCTTGGAATGGATATGCCATGTTCATTCACTGGACACAATAAAAATATGATTTATCATTTTGTCCAGATGAAAGTCATATTTCAAGCATTGGCACATATTGGTTATAAAAGAATTGTGGGCCACCAAACAAAAAGTTAGCAGGCAAAGCATTCTCTGTGGTTAAGAATCATTCTGATCAACCACAAGTTTACGTATAAGTTGTTTTTATTCAATAACCATCTTCCCAGCTGCTCACCAACTTTTCAAATAAGTACTGTTGTCTTTGGTCACAAAGCCTGATCTGGGTGATTTCATGTTTATTCACCACAAATGCTCTGGTTTCTGGGAGCTAAGCTGTAGGCCTCAGGGATGGATGGTGAAGGTGCAGGGATGCAGACTCCTGTAACTCCTGCACCTGCTGTTAGAAGGGCAGTTATGTTTACTGCATGAGCCCCTTCCAGGGCTTAACAGCATCAACAAACAGTAAGTTTGAGTCAGTGTTTCTCTCCTGGGAAAGGCGGGGGAAGTCCACGTGCAAAGCCAGCTCTTCCTTTTTTTGCGTGGTTTGTGCACTGGCCTCACCTGTGATAAGAGCCCCAGTCAGGCAGCCTCTCAAGTGGTCCCTCACTCTCAGTCCCTTGTCCGGGGGGTGCCCATTTCTGGCTGTTCCCACACTTCCCATGAGGGGCTTCAGCTGGGTGAATCAGGGAACACATCTCCAGGTTAGACACTGATGGTTTCCATGCTGGGGTGGACTGTGTGTGTTCTTCAAGGCTCTGCCTTCCTTGGAGAGTCTCCAAGGAGTTGAGCTCACCAGTCTGATTAGGACAGCTTCCGTGGCCTGTGCGATCTGGCCTCCCAGGACAGCTGCACAGTGACTTCTCTGATGAGCCAGCCTGGCCCACTTTTAGGACCTGGCGGTGGTGGGCCCACTCTCTGCTTGGAGGTTGGGCTCCTAGTGGGCTGAGGAAGTCAGGACCCCACCCCTCTCCCAGGATTAAGTTTCCCCGTGAGGAACATGGGAATCTTGTTCTGTGGCCCCATGGGGTAAGCCATACCTGGCCTGGCCTCAGGAGAACACTGGAGCGCAGACTGTGGGGAGGGCAAGAGACACCACATCTCAGCACATCCTACAGCATGTCTCGTTCTGTTAAGACAGATACCACGTAGGCAGGTGGGTGAGATCAGGGTCCGTGGTACTGACATGCAGCGATGTCCCCAGAGACTGCTCGGACTGTGACTGGGCATGCGCATGCCATTCTCAGGCACTGCCTCAGCTGCTGTCCCTCCTTCACAGTTTTCCTCTGTTCTAGGTGTAGGATGTGCTTTGCAGAGTATTCAGTGTTTTCCCAGGAAGCCAGAATAGGCAGAACCCGGAGGTCAGTTTCTCACTGTCAGACTCGGTAAGGCATTTCCTTTGCTCCCAGATCTTCTGTTTGTCATGTTTACTCCACCTTTGGAAGCTCTTCATCCCTGTCTTCCCAGCCCACCCTATTTAACAGAGCCCTTGTCCACTCCACCTTGCTTGCTTTAGTTGTCTGTCCTTGAAACTTCTCCAGCTTTGCTTTTATGAAACATGTTACTAGAACTGCACCTGTTACCCTGGGGTCAGGAAGCATCAGGATTTTTACAGTTAGGGTGATGTTTTCTGATTTACTCCAAATATCTCTTTTGATAAGGGCTAGCATTTTGTCAGTGTTTTTTGGGCTGTCATATTTCCTCAGCCTGAGAGAGAGGTGAGTTATTCACTTTTAATCATCTGACTTGCTGAACTCTAGCAAATGTTCATACCTGTTACCATGTTTGAGGTATTAGCAGAGGTGGATGCTGGCAGTGATTACAGGTCTCTGTACTGCACAGTAAGTGGTTTAGCTGAATCAGTGACTGTCTTGTACCCAGTGTGACTTGTGACATGCCCTGTTGCAGTTTCCATGGAACTAGACTTGGGTAGTATGATATACTTGGATTGAGAATCTGTCTTATAGGCTATCAGTAATAAACTAAAGACCAACAGTAATCAGCTGGCTTTTATGTAAAAGAAGACAACATTGATGGATTGATATTTTAATGGCAGAAACAAAACTTCTGTCTATGTCAGGCTGGATTTAGGAAAAGCTTGTCCTTAGCATTTCTGTTGTTGGTGATACTGACCCTCCAACTGCGGCCCTGTGTCTCTCTTACTGTCTCTCAGCTGTTTGTCATAATTAGAAGGCATCTTATAAACTTATCCCGTGTAGCATGTTATGTGATAATCCCTTAAGATTTGTTATTCTTCAGCATATTTGCGTTTCAGTGCTAGTCCAAGAAATAATCAGAGTGACGACTCCCTGGTGCTGGAATGATTTTGGGGAGTAGGATGGGAGTAGGTATGCCTACTCTTCTGTTTCCTTGTGACGCTGGTTCTGCTAAGTGGATGCTCTCAGATGTGTTAAGTAACAAATATGTTGATACTTTGCTCTCATAACCTCACATGCTAACTTTTTCTAGTGTTTTTTTTTTTAAATTGAAGTATAGTCAGTTGCAGTGTGTCAATTTCTGGTGTACAGCATAATGTCCCAGTCCTGTGTGTGTGTGTGTGTGTGTATATACATATATACATATATTCATTTTTATATTCTTTTCCATTGAAGATTACTACAAGGTATTGAATATAGTTCCCTGTGCTACACAGAAGAAATTTGTTTTTTATCTAGTTTTAAAATTTGCAAATCTCAATCTTCCAAATTTACTAAATTTGTCCAAATTATCCTTGCTTGTCATGAGGACGAGTTCGGTGATTCACTGAGGTTTTCTCTGAAACTCCGGCTGCTCGAGTGGACAGTGCTCAATGGGAAACCTCTGGACTGTGCTAGTGCATCCAGCCCTCTGCATGAGCACCTGCTGCGGACAGCCTGCCATTTTCATGTGGTTTAAATTAGTATGGCATAAACAGCTGAATTCAGTAGGCTATTAACAAATCATCCAAGTTTTCATTCAACAAGATAGCTAGGTGGCCTTAAGCAGTGAGTTAAAAAAAAAACAACTTCAAACTCCGTAATTGGAGGATATTGAAAATGCTTCATATCAGCAGGCTGGTGTCAGAGTGCAATTCTACACTGAGTGTGGTCTGCACAGCTAATGCTCGTTGAGGGGCAGTTTTGGAGGGGTAAAACCAAAAGATTTAGATCTTTCACTGAATCATTTTAATGTGCTTCTAAAGCAAATAATAATCTGTAAAAAGGTGGGAATAATACTGAATGGTCTCTACTATCGTGCAGATCTTTGCTGTCTTCAAGTTACTTTGCAGC